CAAGAATCTAGAGGCGAGGCTGGGTCGTCCGAGAGCAGATCTTAGTAAGAACTGTGCAGCGCCTGGACCCTGGGGGAAGCCGTGCGTCCTTCTCCCAGGTGTCGAATGAGCTGGACAGAACTAGAAGAGCTGTAACCAGAGGGCCCTTTGTCCAGAGCAAATGCATCTGTTGACTGATTCTAGTCATAACCCAACACGGTTCTGTTCTCTAATTGGATAAACTGATGGTAGTGTTTATGAAGAAACATTCTGTGATGGTGGCCTAAGTGTGACACAGCAGGAAGTGCGCGCTGGTTGACTTGCCCTATCAGGATGCCACCAAGCCTCCAAGTGTAGAACACGTGACTGCCCAGGCACTGAGGTGACCAGTCCTGCCTGTGAGCAGCCAGCTCAGTGCCCATCGTGAGCAAGAGGGGACAAGGGATCAGGGAGCTCCCTGCACCTCCCAAGGGCTCAGACCCACGTGGGTGCTCCCTCTGCTCTGAGGTGGGCTGCACCCCATCCCATCTCACAGAACTTCCTGGACACCGTCTTCCCCCCCTCCCCCCCAGGAAGCAGCTCTCGGCCCGGCCCTCGGACTCTTTATCCGATGGAAGCCCCTCTCCCCCATCTGCCATGCCACAAGTGCTTCGTTTCTCTCCGGAAAAGGGGGATTCCACGTTCCAGAAAGTCCTCACCCCAGAAGCAGCTGTGACTGAGAACAGCCCCCTGAGTGAGGTACAGGGGGGCCATGCTCAGTGCAGGGAGAGGAGTCTGAGGCTGTGTCCTGCCACCCCGCTGTGGGAGGAGGGTGGGGGCAGGGCGCAGGAAGGTGAGAGTGAGGCACCCGGTTGTCTGCTGTTAGCAGGAGGAGGGGTGGAGGGAGGCCCCACCCTAATGCACCCTGGATTTCCAACACGAGTCCCCCCAGGATGCAGCCCAGCTGGGACGCCCACCTCCCTTGGCCCTGAAGCCTGACGTCCGTCTCTCTCGTGGTCACCCAGGCTGTCGTGGACATCCAGCTGGCCCAGCTCACCATCACCCCGGAGGCCAAGAGCCCGCCCCTTGCCGACCTGCCCCTCATCGACTTCAACAACTCTTCTGAAGCCGGTGGCCATCAGCCCCCGTCGAGACCCTCTGCCGACGGCCGGCCTCTGATCGACCTGATGATAAACACCCCAGACACAAGCAGAGATGTCACCCCTAAGCCTCTGCCCGGGGTGGGCCAGGTGAGGAGGGCCGGCTGACCCCGCCTGGGCGGTCCTGGACCTAGGGGCTCCTGGACCCAGGACACGGTATGGTGGGTGAGCCTTGGGAGCGGCCATGGAGGCTTTAAGGCCCACAGTGCTCGGTGGCTGTGCCTGGAGCCTCAGCCGCCGTCCTGAGGCCGGGGCTGCGTGGTGCAGTGGCCGGCCTGAACGCTGCCTTCGTGCCCCCCCTCTTTCAGCTCATCGACCTGGCCTCCCCGCTCATCCAGCTGAGCCCAGCTGCTGACAAGGAGAACGTGGAGTCCCCGCTCCTCCGGTTCTGAGCAGAGCAAGCCCCCCCAGGGTCTCTGTCCCCTCAGGACTGTGCACCCTCAGAATTGAATTGAATTGAAATTATGTTGGAAAACACCAGCGAGGGC